TTGTACAGGAGTAGTGAAAGGTAGAAAGCTTCCACTGCTTTTTAAAAAAAGAGAATTTGATTATTTTTTTAGCTTATCGATTGAAATTGTCCCTTTTTTGTATCAATTTTCAAATTCAATGAATCAAGAAAAAAGAACAGTAGATCAAGGCTATATCCCAATACATTTAAAAAAAAAATCAGGACACAATTATTGCTTTTTGGCAATTTCTGTATTAGGCAGATATGCACATTAATATACTGTATGTGAGTATATATTAGGGCCCAACCGATATGTGATTTTTTGGGGCCGATGCCGATATTGATTTTGGGGAGACAAAAAAAATCAGATACCGATATTTCGGCCTATATATTTTTCTTATATCTATCTTCGATATTGAGAGATAGATGTAAATATAATACATGTAAATATAATATTGTCTTTTATAATAAAGACAATGTGGTCACTCAACTGGAAAGTAACTGTGCATGTACGTGCATCACCACTTGACACTCAGGGGAGTGATAATGCTTGTTGTAATCCATATAGCGCCCTCGGCTCTTGGCAACCAGAAAGAGAACTGCTAGTGTAATACAATGATACTCAAATGAAATGCTATTTGACTGCTGAATAAATCTATAAATATCGGCACATGTCTGTGATCAAATTAGCCGATACCAGTAGTCACTGGATATCCTATCATCGACCGATATTATCGGCTGGCTGATTAATTGGCAGGCTCTAGTATATATTATTCTATTTTAATTGTTTAAATACAGTCTGATCATAAATTCAAGTTTGCTTTGTTTTTCTAAAAATGTCAAATACTTTTTGTTACCACATCATGTTCTGAAAACTATAGAATCTCTGATATTCTGATGAAATTTAGTATTGAAAAGTACCGTAGCTTCAGCTCTTAAATCATATTTCAAATTAAAAAGCTGAAACCAGAGAAACAGATAGCACTGTCTTAGTCGCACTGACTCGCACAGATATGTTATCAAAGCATTTGTAAGCTTTAAAAGGATGGGTTGATGAAATGAAATGCATATGAGTCATAAAGGTAATATTAATATCTTCTGGTAATTTGAATCTCTTCTGGGAGTGGCTGTGTTGAAAGAGACAAGGGTTGTATTCCAGGAAGCAAAGGTAATGATGACACAGCATTAAACATTAATCCAATTGATCCACAGTGTAAACAAAGTCGAGTGGTGACACTTAATTGAGGAGCAACAAGTGTCATGTATTTTTAATGATCCACACAGAGAGAGAGTGCACACGGGGAGAAGAGAGCAAACCATGTTTGCTTACGGTTACAGTTTCACTTTCCAATCTCACATCATCTCCCCACCTTTCATGCTTCTCTCAGGATTGAACCATTTTAGGATGATTTTTTTCCCCCATCTGTGCCGAAGTGATAAGGGGGAAGAATATGGGGTACGTAAAATATGTATCCTTTTGGGTTTCTTCTCTTGGGGAATAGAGCCGTTGAGGCATAAAGTTTTATAACAACATAAGTCAAACCAGATTTTCTTTTCAGTGGGGTTATATACATGTTTAAAAGAAAGCTCCAATTAGCTGTTTAACATTTTGACTTCCACTGAAAAAAAAGATTTGACGTTTATGATCATGTACAGTACACTTAGAAATCAGTGTGATATATTTCTCAAACCTTAACCAAAGAGGCACTCAAGCTGCTTTACTCTTCCCTCCACATTTATTGACTATCAGAAGACCGACCGTCTCTTACCTTATGGCTTTTATTTTTATTTTTTTCCTCTTTCATGCACTCAAAGAGGCAGCACTCCCACTCACACAACATGACTGCGCAGAGTTTCTCATGAATTGGAAATGGGAAGGCAGAGTAAACAAGCTGCCAGGATACCTTCAACTGTGTCACTGACCCTCTAGAATTAAAGCAAAAGCACTGAAGGCTATGTTTCTGTAGGAGGCACTGACCATATCCTCGACCTTGAAGACTGATAAATAAACAGGAGTAGTATTGAACTCCTTAAATCAGGCTTTTTTCTTGTAGGTTTGCTTATTGTTGTACATCTGTTGTCCTAGTTTCTGTTACATCTGACTCAGCGGTTCACAGTAGGGCATACTATCTCCAGGAGGAACTTTTTCATCTCATATTCTTATCTGCTATATTGGCATACAAACTTTTCTTTGATTCATAGACTGTATGAAACATGAACGTAGTCTCAGTGACGTCACCCTTTGGTTTCTGAGGCGGAGTTTTGAAGCCTAAAGACGATGGTTGCCATGTTGAAAAACCTGACTCAAAGCAACTTTTGGGCAACCTAGCAACATGCTAAGAGGTTCTGATGAGGCAGATCTTTTGCCTCTTAGCAAACCGCTATAGTACACATGCCAATGAGTCAACCCAGCCCGCCCCTTATTATGCAAATGTATGTAATACTCTTCGCCTTAATACAATCAAAACAGATGACTTGTAAAAATAAATACCTCCTGTACAGTGTGCAACAATAAAAACATCAGTGAATGATAATAAAATTGTATTATTTTTACCAGGCTGTAAACATTTTTATTTCTGCTGTCCAAATGGGCCTGGGGGTTTTGGAGCCAGCTTTAAAGAACTGCAGTTTTTTTTTTGCACTTCAGCATTTGCTTCATTTTTCAACACCAGAGGATATTCAAGAATAATAGAGATATAAGGGCTGCACCATGCGGGTCAACAAACGTTCGATGATGGGAAGTGTAAAAGTTGGCCAAGTTTCAAATGGTCAGTTTCCAAACTGAAAAAACCCTAAAATACTTCAAAAATGTGTTTTACATCACTTGTATAACTGGCCAAGCCTAAAGGGTAAAACATGCATGTGGCAAACCATGGCTGGTTTGTTATAGAAATAAAAGGCTCTACTGCGTGCGATTAAACAAAAGTCTGAGGGTGTAACTCAGACACTGTAGTTACACTAGTTGTGAAAAGGACTGTTCACTGCAGTGAGTGAATAAAGTGACAGTTTTATTCAACGTTACCTTGACAACTCTTGGCCAGTATTTATTTGGTAGTTTGCTAGTTTGCCGCTACTAGCAAGGCTAATGCTAATAGAATCAAACTTTTAAAAGAGTATTCACACTACACTTCAAATAAATTAAAGCTATTTAACCACCTTATTTTGGGGGGCTTTTCCACTGTAGAAGGGATTATGGATGGAACTTTCGGAGATATAGCAGAAAATATGTTTTCTGCCATTGGCTATCAAAAGTGGCTAACCACCAACAGCGGGTGTTTTGAAAATTAGTAATCTATTTCCCCAGTAGAAAGTAGATTTTGGGGTTACTGATTACTCTATACATTACTTAAAAAAATAGTTTTAAGTTATTGACATTTAAACATGCAAAACACACTTGTAATACAGAGAAATACATTTTACTGTAGCCATAAAAAAAAGAAATCTGCTTTAAATCAACTTTGTCATAACACATTGAGCTCACCATCAAACTGAAACTATGATCCATTACTTTTAAAAGTCATTGCTGCATTTTATTTATTACACACACACACACACACACACACACACACACACACACACACACACACACAGACACACTCATACCAGTTTTCGGTTGTACTTTCCATCCATAGTACCATATGCCCAGAGGATGCCATTGACCCTTATGCCGCCACTGAAGTGGAAGTGACTGATGTTGTAACAAAAGCTGACGGTGTAAATGGAGCTGAGAGTCTTTCAGCTGCAAAGTGTTGAGCTCTTGATGCATAACCACCACTCCAAAGTGTTAATGTTTAAATGCCCTGCTCCTCTGTGCATCAGGCTACTGAGCATTAAATAAACCCAGATGATAAAAATGGTTTCCGGCAGCCATGTAAGCAGTTACTAGTTTGAATCTCTTCCATTTTCTTAGCTGGCTCACTGTCATGTAATTGAGCCTTTTTTCCCCCTCCACAGCTCTCTTAATCTTTATCAGTGTGATCCAGAGATTTGTCATGAAATTACAGCAGATGTGTGTTGCTCTGCGGAAACAAAGATCATTGACCCCGCTCGTGTATCAAAGCAGCATTCTGTGACTGGTGAAAGCAATCTGTTGTGATTGCGGCAGTGCTGTTCTCGGCTCATTGTCTCAGTCACTTTTCGACGTGACAAGCCAGGTGTGTGGGCAGATTAACAAAAAAGAAACCTGATGAGGTTTTGAGAGCTGCATTTGCACATTGTGTCTACCTTCCCACCTTCCTGACAGTTTGACAATATTGTAAGCAAGTTGTTAACATGGCTGCTAATATCTCAAATGCTAATTCTATTTCTGTTTTTATGTTGATAATCCCAACGTAAATAAAGACAGAAATTTGCTCCATTTTGAAGAGAACACCAAATTTGATTTGAGATCATTTGAAGGACAAATCACAGTTCACTTTATCCTGTTCTGAGACGATGTAAGGCATTCATACTGCCAACATTTTCTTGTGACCCAATCAGAGTTCGTCAAACAGGTGACTTCTTCTGCCATATAAAAAAAAAACCCTCTTCTCTTCTCTCCACCAGTGTTCAGTTGCCAGAATTAAAATTGATGTGACACAACTGATGCACATCGACTACTGACATCGGTACATGGCATATTATTTGATGATGTCCCACGATGCATCATTGCATACCTTTGAATTTCCATTTTCAACTACCTCTTTTGCAGACTGTGTGCTTATCAATGTGCTTCAACTACAGACCATGTAATGATTCTTTAATTAAACCCACGCAGTGTTTTCTGAATTACATGTTCTGTGAACATTGGCCAGATAATATAAAAATGTTTTTAGTGTTGATGAATATTATCCTGTTAAAATGGGCACATGACAGATGCATATCAGATTAAAAACTTGGCATTTGGATTGTTCAATGGCTTGTGACTTGTTAATGTGGAAGATGAGAATACAACATGTTAACTTTTGATTACATGGATTCAAGGATTCTTAAAAATGATGCCCACTTCCCTTTGACAAAATCCAGATGTTCAATACTGTATTTTGTTTTATGTCTCCACAGGTGTAAACAGGGAGATGTGGTCACACACACAGCATGGCTCAACCGGTCCAGTATTCTGTATGCAGGAGAGGACAAATGGTCTGTGGATCAGAGAGTTAGTCTGGTGACTCTCAATCAGGAGGAGTTTACCATCAAAATTGAAAAAGTGGAAATGACAGATGAGGGACAGTACGTGTGTGCAGTCCAGACGAGCAGTCGACCGAGAACCACCTCAGTGCACATCCTCGTCCAAGGTAACAACTATATTACTGCTACTGTACAAAAAAAAATATACTTACTGATGGGAGCATTTGGAATTTTGACAATCTGCAACAAGCAATGAATCTCTACCATGTTGTTTCTTAGACTATAAAGATAAATAAATTGATATTAAATACACTTGTGACTATCCAGCACACCTAAACCCTTGAATGTAATATATGCTGCTTTTTGTGCAGCGGCCTGCACTGTACAGTTGTGTTGTTGCTCACCACCAGCACATGAGGGCATAAGTGAACAAACCAGAGAGTAAAAGCAGACGTGTGCGCTCTTTCTTGAATCTCATTTCCTCATTCATTGCTCCACTGGAGCAATTAGAGGCTAAATGTCTCGCTCAGGGAGGGGGGAGGGGGAGGGTAGTGTAGATCACTCACTACGTTAGGTGCGGTTAATGGGGAAGACCAGATGTTAAGATGCTTTGGCTAAAATGAAGTGTCGAGTTGTTATAGTGTCTCCATAAAGATGCAGGCCACAGTTAGCTGCACTGTGTAATATCAACACAGCATAATGGGGAGATTTAATGCCTCCAGTTTAGTGTGCAGGTGATCTGTGCAGCATAAAGAACATCATCATATGGGTGGAGCTTGATTTTCTTTCTTTTGCTCTGAAACAGTATGCTAAACAACCATGATGTGTTCTCAGTGTTCAACCAACACCTCAAGCTTTTCTCAACAACATTCAAAAACCATATCATTTTTTTTTAAATCCTCTGGACTGATCAAAAGTGATCGCAGATAATCATAATTTAATTAGGGATGGGACCAATCCCATCTAATATCGGTATCAGGTTCAGATATTAAAGTAATTTACGTATCGGATATTGGACTGACAGCGCCGATCCATGCCACTGATCAAAAAACATGGTTGGGAACTCAAAACATTCTCAGCTCGTACAGTCTCACTTTGAAGAGGTTTAGACTGAACTGTAAGAAGTGCCCACAAATTGTCTCCATGACGATGTTCAGACGAGATGGAACAGCTCCTTCTATATGTTCTTACACTTCAGTTTAAGAGATTTATTTTGAAAAACCTGACAGCTATTGCTGCTTCCTGTTTGTATGTGAAGCCAGCACAATGCAATGCAAAGTTGGGTTTGCGAAACCTTTGTGTAACCTTGCACTTAATACCAACAACAACAATTATATTATTAGTTATTATATTAAAATAGTATCAGTATCAGTACATTTGTATTGGAATTGGATCGGCATTGAAAAAAAGTAGATCGGTGCAGCTCTAGATTTTATATGTGTACATAATATTCATTTTAGCTTTTAAGGGGAAAAAAAAGGTTTCGGTAGTAAGGTGTATCTGTTCATTTTTAGAAAATGTACATCAGAGTCAAACTCATTGTCAATTCAGCTCCCCGACAAATCATGCAATTTTTGTTTGTATTCCTGTGGCAACCTCAGACATCATCTCTGGTGACATGTGCTGCACATTACTCTATTAAATCACAATGATGATGCAAACAAAATCTAATATCACCCTTCCATAAATACTGCTGCTGACAGGAACACTTTATATTTCACTGTGTGTGAGAAAGCTATTAAGTGCAGCAGCATGAGGGTAGTTTAAGAAATACAAAAAGAGCCGGGAATGGGCTGTGACTTGGAAAAACTAATTATTTCCAAGGTTAAAATCTTGTTTTCTTGTTTTTGAAGTTGTTGTAAATGTTCTAAAGCAAAAAAATAGGTAAACAAACTTTGCCACTGAGGAACTTATTCAGTGTAATCTGAGTAATAATTCATTATAATTATCATCATCATCAATACCACATGTATTTATAGTATCCAGTCAGAGAACCAGAAGTTTTATTTTCTGTATTGATGACTTGATCACATTAAACTAACTAATAAACTTTATGTATTTTTCATCTCCTGCCAATAATTGTATACTAAAGGAGCAATATGTAAGATATCTACTGAATTAAATCATAAAATGACCTTACTATATCATCAGACATTAAGGACACATGCTATGTTGAAATCTTTGCTTCTCTGTTAACAACACAGCAGCCAGTATGTCGTCCTCCTTAGTTTAGATTCTGGTCTAGAAGCTCCACGAGCAGAAACGTGGTAAAAACTAGTAGAAATATTGGAGATGGAGATCAGTGATTTGCTCAAGTGCACCTTGGCAGTACTCAGGATGTTAACTAGCACCCCTCCAGCTACCAAACCAATTTCCAGACTTTGTTCCGCTCCGGGATTTGATCTGGCGACCATCTGGTTCCCAACCCAAGTTCCAACAGACTGAGCCACTGCCGCTCCAAAGTGGTGAATCAAAGTGGGTCGAGATGATGTTTTGATTCCTTGCACCTGCAAGCCTATAACTTTAAGTGCTCTTGGGCAAGACATCGAAACTCAAACTGCTCACAAAGTCATAGCCACGGGTGAGTGAATGAGCTTCAGTCAGGACTTATGAGTGAATTGGCACTTTGTATATCAGCCTCTGCAGTCAGTATCTGTGAAAGGGTAAATGCTGACATGTGGTGTATGGCGCCTGGATAGACAGGAAGACAAGAAGAGCTTTGAACAAGTGCAGCCTATTTACTCTCCCATTTATCATTTTGCTGTTACAGCCTTCTAAATTAACCAGCAGCTCTAATGACATGATCAGAGAAACTGGCTCCATAAGCACTGTGATGTAAAGATGTGTGACGGCGATAAGCACTTGTTTGTGGTCTTAAAGAGAGCTCATTATATAGATCTGGCTCTCCTCCCTCTCTTTGAGAATATTTGATCAGAGGGTCTTGGTGGCTTTCCAGCACAACTAGTTAGTCCCTGGAACAATGCCTGAAAACACAAACTCCTCTGATGTAAATTCTGATTATTTACTGTTCAAGACATACGATCTCAGGAGAGAGTTTTCCAAGAGCCAATAGACTTCACTTCCCTAATGCGTTCTTACTCATTAAAACTCTCATGCCACTTATTACACATTTCAAACAAATATCAAATAATCATTCAAAAGTATACAAAAGTAGTTTCTTAACTTCACTGTGAGATCATCATATTCTTCCTTGTTTCTGACTCTATCCACTGTCCTATCTCTAAACTAAGTCATACAAAGCCCTCCCAAAAAATCTTAAATTCCTCTCTGCATAAAAGCATTGTAATTGCAAAGATTTTCACATCTTGTACTGTGAGCATGTTTGAGATTATGGAGAAGTAAATCTGGTAAAATTCAAAATCGGGAAGGATTTTAAAACTCCTGCAGTGTGAGCCAAAATTGTGGCCCAAATTTGTGTTATTTTACAACCAATCAGATAAAACATTGTGGAGTTTGCACCGCAGACAGAACAAATCATGTACCACAATAAAGAAATACAACAAAACCAATAAATATAAGGCGCTTCTGAGACTTTTTGACAAAAAAAAGTTCAGACACAGATTAGGGATCCACAGAAAACAGCTCATCTAGTCTGTAAATCAAGTTTGGTGTATACAGATTTTGTTTTTAGGCCGTAGCTGCAGCTGAAAGGTAAAATATGCTGGGGTTGGTAAAATGGCTCTTTTACTCTAGATACTGAATTTCACTCTCATGTTTGAACACTTAAAGTAGAACACTGTGGTGTGTCGTGTTCACTATGTTCACTTAATACAATAACACTTACAAGTGTGGAGAAGTTAAAACCAAACTTGAGTTAAAACTTCACTCCTTGTTTCCTTGGTGACTGTAAAAGCAGGACAAAAGTAGGTTGATTTAAGCAGCAGAGAAATACATGAACAGCTGAGGCCACACTCGAATATGTGGCTTTACTGTATGTTCTGCTGCTGCTGCTGCCAAACAACACAGAGAATTAAAGAATTTGCCACCTGACTGAAGCCCATCTTCTTCCTCGAGTCTTGTAGCAGGTGCTGCAAAAAAAGAAGCCTTAAGGATACTGTGTTAAAAGAACCCACACAGAAAGCTTGTTTACTGTATTGTAAAGAGGGATTCTGTAAGAAGTTGGGGTCTTTGGCAGAGGAGACTGAGGATGACTGTCAGTGTGTTTATCCAACATGCATGGTCAGAACAACAAGAATAAACAAACTACTGAAAGGATAGCCAAAACAATCACGACCCCTGGAGGATAATTATGTTTTCAAGCCCAGTGATGTTTTTAGTAGTGCCACCTTCATGCTATAAAAAAGAAATGATGATGATGATGATTTTTCCATAGAGTCATGCTCAAATGCACACCTTCAATTTAGATTCCTTGTGAATTTCTCTGCACCGCTGCAAACCTTATATTGTTATGTTAATAGATATCTTACAGACTAATAGGCTGGTTGCCATGAAATTCACTGAGCTCATTTACTGGTATGTTGCCACATGAGTCGTTTCAATTTTAATGACCTGCTTTCCTGTTGGGATGAACTATTTTAAACATAATCATCGTTTGACAGCCTGGCAGTGCAGCCAGTTTCCCATCCATCATGAGGTTCATTGTTTTGGTTTTGGTAGAAAAAAAAGAATAAAACATCATTAAGATTAGTGGATTCATGAGCAGGAATTCTAAGAACTTAATCAAGTAACACTTTCATCGTACAACAACTTCTTTTTAAGGATCCATTATGCAATTGTCCAGTTAATACTGATAAGAATAGCCACATGTTTGTGTGTATTTAACTCCACCATAACAATAACTTCATTAGATATTCCCCTGACTGTATGGGGGTGAATTTTTTGATAACTCATCTGTTTTGATTTTATGAAAGATAAGCGTTATTCACACCAAGGCGCGTGGCTGACCTGATTGACAGGTGGCTGTATTGTAAAACTTTCCTCAGCTCCAGCTCTGAGCCTGACATTTGGTTGACTGAAAGTTAGACTGAGACAGCATTTCCAGCATGGAGACTGCCGCCAATGGAACTCCAGCGCCCCCTGCAGTAACAGATGGGTGACGTCACTCAGGCTTTGCCCATTTACAGTCTATGGTTTTACAATGCAGAGGAAGCGTGATGGCAAGTCACTGTACAGAAGGCTTACAACT